CCAGAACACACACACACACACACACACACACACACAGAGAGAGAGAGAGAGAGAGAGAGAGAGAGAGAGAGAGAGATGTTAGTTGAGATAGAGAGATGAGAGAAAGAGAGTCCCTCAGGGGTGCCCAGAGAGAGAGGAGGTTAAGAATGAGCAGAGCATCAGACATCAAGAATGAAAGTACCTATAAAGCACTAAGTTCCGCAAAGTGTTCTTCCTTTGATCATTCTATGGGTGATTTTAAAGATAAGATTATCAACTGCATTGGGGGCTGGGGTTCATGGCACTTATTAGCATCCTGGTTCTGAGAATATCACTTTCTCAACTCTCATTTTTCTTTTTTTATCTGTAAAATGTGGATGATATATATAAATTGCAGGATTATTAGAGAGAATGAAGGTGATAAACAGAGGAGTCATATGGCCTCCTTTGCCCAGGGCTATCCCAGTTCATGCCTAGTGTCCCAGCATTATTATTAACTTGCACTCTCAAAAGTGTCTCAGTTTGTACAAATAATGATGTGGCTGCTCTACATATAAACACTTGACACAGAGTGGACCCACGGCCAATGTGGCAGTATGTTATTCTAGGGTTGTTCATATGTTTAAACAACCAACCAACCAGCTAACCAACCAACCAACCACACCTCTAGTTTGTTTTCATCATAAACCCAGGGATATACCCTGTCTACTTAGAGTGGATGTTTATTTGGAGTTTTGTGTCTCAACAGGACCATGAGCAGCTTTAGTAGAAGGGATCACGGCTACAGAAATACTGGAGTAATGCTCTCCGAGTGTCTGGACCAGTGTTGGGTACCTTTTCCTGTTGAAAGATCTGAGTGGGGTAAGTACTGCTCTGCTGGATTTAGGCAACTTGGTTAAACCTCTTTACTTTTCTATTTATTTAAACCAACTCTACAAAGAGGCTAAGATGAATATTTTGAGATTTTTCTGGAGTCTTTCTCCTAGTGCCTGGGTTCACGGCTGACATACATTGGGCCCATAAGCACTGCTCTGAGGCCAGTTGGAGGTGTTTTCAATCCTGACTTGTACATTATTTTTTGTCCCCAGAGCTAACCCTTTACCAACTGGCATTTCTATGTTGGACTGAACAGTATCCTTATCACCACAACCTAACTCACTACCTGAAAAATGCCGCATCTGATTCTGAAAATCATTGCATGTTTTTCTACAGCAACATTAGACATTTTACACACACCAGCTCCTTCCGAAACAAACACGGGAGAGTTTGTCAATGAAATTAATTAACTCATTACTTGAAAGAGTTAATTGGCATTCAAAAGTTTCCCTCCATGGGGGTGCCAACTGTTATAGGAAGGACACAAACTACCCTGGAAAAATTAAGGCCTTGATTGGATTCTGACTGTACTTTTGTCATTGGGCCTGTGTTCACTGCACATGGGGATGGATGTAAACATCAGGACAGCCAGTCAGAGTTTTCAGATCAGTGGGAGAACCTTCGCACAAGCTCTATCCATCAACACAAAACAACCCCTCCTTTCCAGAAAATAGTTTGGAACGATCTGCTTTAACCTTTTTTTATAGCAAACCCGAGAACCCAAGGTGGCTTTCTATACTGAGAGAATGCCCAGGCCACCCTATGCTGCTGGAAGGTATGTACTTAGGGAAGGTAGGAATATTTCAATGGTAGCTGAAGTGGAAAAGGGAGTACAGTTAAAAGGTAAATCTAGAAAGAAAAGTGGTCCAAAGCAAGCAACTAATTTCATCTATATTCATGCAATTCCCTTCTTCAGTGGTGTGACTACACACAGAATGATTCCTGAGGATGTCAATGCTAAGAGGAAGTATGGCCTAAGTCTGATTTTTAGTGAGTTTAGAGAAGAGAGAAGCATTGGAGTCTATTGTAAATGCTCAACATATGTAAAAATAATACCAATGTGCTAGAAATTGTGCTGAGTGCTTTATATCTTAATATCTCATTTACTCCTGTGAGCTACTCATTATTTTTGCCTCCATTGTATAGATGAGAACATTGAGGCAGAGTAGATAACTGTCCAAGTCCACAAAGTGCAGGAGCTAGAGATCTAAGCCCATTTGGTCCTATGACTTGCGTGTTCTAGGTGAGGGTGTGCCAGCTTGGGGCCGACGTGTGTGTGGGCATGGACTGGAGAGCAAGGTAGTGAAATTCAGAGGAGGGTAAGCAGATTAAACATGGCAGGAGCAGAAAAACAACATGAGAGGATGGACGAAGAGTTCAGAGAAGGTCCTGAATGATGGTCACAGACACTCGGGGCAGGAGAAGCTGTGGTGTAGTCTTTGAAATGCTGGTAGAAGCCGCTCCAGGATGCTCCCTGTCACCATTGGAGTGTCCCAGGTTAGACTGACTACCACAGGGCAGTCACTAGGAGAATCACTGAAAAGCTGGGGAAAGCCTGGACAGGAATGGGGAAGGAGCAATAGAACAGGTGTCCAAGGGGATAAGGAAAGCCTCTGCAGTGAGCTCTGAAAAGGACATTTTATTCTCAAGCATCAATGCCATTTTAACTCCCAATGCCCTTACACGGAAAGGGCAGCCTGACAGAGTAGGCATGCCAAGGAAGAAGAGGGTGTCAACATGAATAGGGGAAAAAGCTAACACTTCTCACCAGGAAATGAGTGTCTTAATTGACTTGTTAATTCTTCAGTATATAAAATTACATTTTTCTCACAATGTACCATTTCTTGGATGAGGGTTAACAACAACAAAAACAAATGGAAATCTTGGAAAAGTTCATGGGATTATCTTATCTCTTACTACCACCTTGCAAAGCAGCCAGCCATAGTTATAGAGTTGGTTTTATTGCTTTTTAATTGTTGCACATTTATAAATAACCACTGCTATATAATTAGGGGCCTGGTTCTTCTCACAGTTTCTTCCCTCAAACTTGTGATGCTGGGCCAAGGAGTGGCTTTTCCTGTGTACATCCTCCCAGCCAGGTCACCCTGAGTAGCTTAAAGCCCTAAGGCTTCTGTTTTCTAATTTATCTTCCATACAGACAAATTCCTTTCTCTCTTTGCTACTGAAAATATGTAAAACAGGGAGCTATACTAGATTACAAACAGGTTAGTGTTGCAACAAGTTTAAAGAAGACTAAGCATAAAGTATATTTACTTTTTCTCTTTCAAGACAGGACTGAAAGCATTCTGAGCCCCAAAGGAATGCTAGAGAACACCAAGTTCCAGTGAAGACATTAAGATCAAGGGTAGGGACCTGTCTTATTCACCTTTGTAGCCCCATAGTCTGGCACATAGTAGGTGTTGAATAAATAGCTGCTGAATGAATTGAAAGAATTCAAAATTGTATCCTAGATACTTCCCAAATATAAATGAACGGTAATTTTGAACCATTTTCTGATGTGAGTGTGGAGAGAGTGGGGAGAGCTTAGGAATGGTGGAGGGAATATACTCTGTCCAGAGTAATTTAAAAACAAGGGGAGAATGATTCTAAAAGAAATCCCACTGGCCTCAATATTGTCAGAGCACAATTTTCTCTCTCATAAAGCAATGACAATAATTAATGAAAGAAAGAAATCTGGCCTCGGAGAACCCAAAATGATTGAAAACCACTGGCTGTTGTCAGACGCACAGGAGGCCTTTCCAGTGTTTGGAAAACTGTTCCATAAAGAACCCTGTATGTCAAATTCTTTTCATTAATCAAAGGGTGGAGAAACAAAGGGAGATTTTTCCTGAAGTAGGAAGGATTACACACGCGATAAAATGAGTTATGGCTGTAACAGATAAAGGAATGCTATTTGGGTGACAGTATTGCTCCTAAATGGCTTCTCACTTATAGAAAGCAGCTTCCTACAAGCCCCATAGTATATATAACGGTGCAAAACAATCATTAAAAAAATGGGTTTCTGAAAATATCATTGAGAGATGTATATCTCTGTATACCTCAAAGCTGAAGAGATTTTGGCAGTTTTCTCAAAGCAATGATGGCTCAGGTTCTCCTGCCCAGGTTTTGTTTACAGAACAATCTTGGCCACAGGTCATTTGTGTAGGAGATAATTAATTGCCAAGTCTTTGCATACAGGTAGATTAATTAGTATGCACCTAATATAACATCAAAATATTTATTGGAAATTTTTTAAAAATTCCAAACAATTAATGATCTATAATACCTGACAATGTTACCCAGAGCAAGTACAAAGGCTGTTGGTGAAACAGGGAAGACTTTGTTTTTAAACTGTTCCAAAAACACAAGGCATCACTGACACCCTGGAGGCCTCATTTTCATTTGATTCCAGATCCACGAAGCCATGGAGGTTGTCATTTTGAAATACTTTATTGCTCAAAATCTTTAAGTAGGTCAGAGATGGAACTTCGTAAGCCAGAATATTCTGATACCCTGATATTCAGAAGCTTGCCTATTTATATTTCAGAAAAGTACATTATTTGGACTAGAGCAAACATCAGGATTGTTAAAAATTCAAATATTAAATACCGTCCTGAGCATCATTCACACAGACAACGGACAGATCAAATAAGAGTGCAAATGCCTCTGTGTACAAAAAAGATGAATCTCAGGTTTTGGACTATTAAGTACTTTTTGTCTTTAGACAATACCCTAATAAAACAATTAGGAAGCACTCTGAAACTGAAACCCTGATACACCCCTCTGGCTAAACCACAGTTCACAGAGTATTGAGCTAAAGCCTGAACAAATCAAATAAATACCACACGCCCAACAAGGCAGGAAATGCAGCCTGAATGCCCTCTGGTGAGCTCTGCCAGATTGGAAGGGCCATCGCACTTGAAAATATGATCAAACAAAATCCGCTGTAATTCCACTGCAGCCTCTGCATCTAAGGAGAGCTGTTTCAGTCACTGACATTTTGATTTTCATAGCAGAGAAAGCAAAAAAACTTCCTCTGCTCACAAGCATATGCATCCAGTTGAGATTTTATTTCTCCAACCTTATACAACATCCAGCCGACAAACAGACAGACAAACAAGCAAAGGTTATTTTCTGTTACTCACTATTACTCCAGGATTTCAGTAAATATTTGATGCTGATCTCAAAGAAGCCAGAGTCCTGCTGGCTGGCCATGTCCGCGGCATACAAAGAGGCTCCAGGCTGGGCTGGGAGCCGCAGGAGGAGCAGGTACCGGGTGGGGATGTTTCTGTCACAGGTTAGTGATGTCAGCAGGGGGTCAGAGCACAGAGGAAGGTTCTGCAGATTTACCCCCCAGAGGGCAGGGAGTCCTCATGTAAAGGACACCAAGGAGCAGGAGAGAGATGCTCCGCGCTCCTCTTCCTCTGAGTCCAGGATTAGTTCTTATTTTTCTCATTTGCTGGGCACAGCTCTCCCTGCAGCTCTCAGAGGCGTGGCTGCTGCTTTCATTTCTGAGCTGCCATAACCAGAAGCGCCTGCTGCAGGCTGCTCGCAGGCTTTGCTCTAGCCAGGTATGGTCCAAGGAGGACCAGCACCCTCGTGATTGTTTTCCCCAGGGAGGGAGGGTCCTGGGCTGGCCTCCCTGACCCTGTGAACAGCCTAGTTCCCAGCTCTCCCAAGGCGCGGTAGGGTGAGAGGTGGGCTGGGAGCACCGCCTCCTGTCTACAGCCTCGACCTGAGCCCCACCTCACTGGGCCCCGACCCAGTTGTAGGAGGAATTTCCAAGCTTCTACAGATCCTCAGTTCAGAAATGCTCCCAGTGACCAGCTCTGTGTGCTGGCAGCAGCGGCGCTGGTGGCTGCTTTCCCCTGTGTCTGTCCCCGATGCACAGGCAGCTGCATTGTGCTGCAGTGAGTCAGGCTGCACCCTTGGATCTAGTTGCAGTGACGTTTCTTAAAAGCCCCATCCTTCAGCCTCCTTGCAGTAGGAAAGCTGGATGACAACAAGGCAGTTGCCGGACATTTTTCTCCCTCTTCTTGCACTAGCACAGTGGAATCTGCACTTGGTTGTGTCTCCCTCCCAGAAATGCTGTCATTTTGGGGGGCATACCAGCACCTATGTGGGCTGCCTAAGGGACCAGTACCAACTGCTCAGTGTGCTTATTTACGGAATGTGAGGCTCCACAGTGGATCTGTTTCTCAAACCTTTCATTTTTAATTAGCACTGAGCCCAATAAAGCTTAGTTTATTTGTACTAAAAGGATAAGAAGCGAAAGCATTAGGTTCCTTGCTGCACAAAGGCTTTTTACTTCATGAAATCTGATATCAGGTGTCCTGATTTTGGTTAGTTTTGTTTCTCATTGTCATTTAGCTTGACCAGGGCATTAAACAAGAGTATTTCAATTATGACAGGCTACATTTGAGTATGTGGAATTTGGCCAACCATCTCATAAACCATAGAACCCTTAACAAACCATATTGATAATTATTTAGCATAAAAATTGTTGTGCACCCCCCTCAAATCATTACACAAATAGGACTTCCTAGACTAACAGTTCATTTGAGAAAAAGGGAAAGAGAACAATACAATTTTTGTAAGGCTAAGAAATTTTAAAATTCAACTTTTAAAAATATGTTCTGGAATGCTCTAAGGCACTATCAATTTAATGAGCTTTTCAAACTACATACATGTACAGAAAAGGCAAGCACCCCTCCGCCCCCATAGGATTTCCAACTCGACTCACAGCACTTTATTCTCATGAAATCTCTCATCAGATTGGGTTCTTTTTCATTTACATGCCTATGAGATTTGACAAGCTAATTTTGTATTATCACCTGTACAGTAAAGTCTCAATATAATAGATTAATTCTGACAAGTTAAAGCCGGAAGTCTGCTATGTAATAAAGTAGGTTTTCTGAATGCGTATGTTAAAAATTTGACAAATTAGTTTACCTGTTTTTACTTATGTAGACACGTTTGTGTAATTAAAATTAAGTATTATGAAAAATTTTATTTCACAGAAAAGTTTTCTATATGTATCACTGTAATTTGAAATTTATATTGAATAGGTCTAGTAAATAGGTGCATTCACATGTTACCGTGAGTAAACAAATGCACGTAGCTGGGGCGTGACTTCTTGCACATGGGAACATGAGGGGAGGGGTGGACATGTGTTAAAGCTGTTGCAGAAAGTCCAGCCATGCAACAGAACCAATTACCCCATGAATGCGATGTGATCTCAAAGAAGCCAGAGTCCTGCTGGCTGGCCATGCTAATCATTTGCCCAACATTGTTTACAAAAAGTGACTATTGGATTTAAATATGTAGACTATAGCTGTAGATATGTAATATTTATTTCGGCAAAATTACTACAGAGTTTTTTCCAATGTATGGCCTATTCGCTAAAATTTGTTAAAAATAATGGTGAATTAATAACAAAAAATAGCCTGTTAATTTACTTATAAGCAAATCTTGGTTACAAGCATTTTAAAATTAACAGGGTATTAATTTTTACATAGGACATATGGGCCACATATTTTGTCTGTTAAATCGGAAGTCTGTTAAAGCAAGGCCTGCAAAATTGGGGGTTTACTGTAATTTGAATGTGTGGATTCCAGGTGAAATAGGACCCAAAGTCCTATTTCAGTTATTACATTTGAAAACAACTAATGCCCATGCCTACCACTGTAGGAGGCAGCGGATGACCAGAGAGCTGCATGGTGCCTTGAACTGATGAGCACAGAAACTAACAGAAAACGTCCCTGGTTCTACCTGGCACCAGCCGGTACTAGCTATGAAACCCACGGCAAGCTGTTAACCTCACTAGGCTTTAGTTTCCTCATCTGCAAAATGTGAATAATAGTGGTAACCATCTCACTTGGTTGTAGGGAAGATTCAATGACATTACAAATGAAGAGTGGTTAGCATAGTCTTGCATAAAGTAAACAATGAAATATTAGCTATATTGATTTTTAAGAAATCTTAGGGACTCAGAATAAAACTTTAAAATTTAAGTTAAATACATGTTTGTACCATTTATGTGCCTTAGAAGGTATATGAGTTTTAAACTTCAAAGGCAACTATTTGGGGATAGCCAAGTTGGAGATATTTTATTTATTTATTTATTTATTTTAAATTTATCTTTATTATTGAAAGTATTGCAGATGTCCCACTTTTTTCACCCACTGACCTCCTCCACCCCTCTTCTGCCCTCTCTCCAGGCCTTCACTGCACTATTGTTGTGTCCATGGGTTATGCATACAAGTTTTTTGGTTAATCTCTTCCAGCCCACCCCCCACCCCTTCCCTCTGAAATACATCAGATATGCTTCAATGTCTCTGGATCTATTTTGTTGTCAGTTTATTTTGTTCATAGATTACACATATAAGTGAGATATGTGATACTTGTCTTTCTCAGACTGGATTAATACTTAGCATAATACTCTCCAGGTCCCTCTATGCTGTCTCAAAGGGTAAGAGATCTTTCATTTTTACAGCTGCATAGTATTCCATTTGTAAATGTACCACAGCTTTTTAATCCATTCATCTACTGATGGCCAATTGGGCTGTTTTCAGATCTTAGCTATTGTAAATTGTGCTGCTATGAACACAGGGGTGCATACATTCTTTCTGATTGGTATTTCAAGTTTCCTAGGAATGGCAATTCCACTTTTATTTTTTTTAGAAACGCCATAATGTTTTCCATAATGGCTGTACCAGTCTGCATTCCCACCAGCAGTGTACTAGGGTTCCTTTTTCTCCACATCTTTGCCAGCACTGGTTGTTGGTTGATTTACTGAGAAAACCATTGTGGCAGGTGTGAGGTGGTACCTCAATGTCATTTTAATTTGTATCTCTCTGATGATTAGTGACTTTGAGCATTTTTTCATATATCTCTTGGCCATTTTTATGTCTTCTTTGGAGAAGCCTCTATTCAGGTCTTCTGTGCATTTTTCAATTGGATTGTCTTCCTTTTGGTGAGTTGTATGAATATATATTTTGGAAATTAATCTCTTATCAGATGTATCATTTGCAAATATGTTCTCTCGTACATATTTTCATTCTATTTTTGGTTTCTTTTGCTGTGCAGAAGCTTTTTATTTTGATTTAGTCCCATATGTTTATTTTCTCCTTAGTTTCCTTTGCCCTAGGAGATGTATCTGTAAAAATATTGCTATGAGAGATATCTGAGATTTTGTTGTTTATGGTTTCTTCTAGGATTTTTATGGTATCACAACTTACATTTAAGTCTTTTATCCATTTTGAGTTTATTCTTGTGTATGATGTGATTTGGTGGTCTAGTTTCATTTTTTGCATGTATCTGTCCAATTTTCCCAACACCATTTACTGAAGAGACTGTTTTGACTCCATTGTATGCTCTTACCTCCTTTGTCAAATATTAATTGAGCATAATTGAGCAATTTCTGGGTTCTCTCTTCTATTCCATTGTGCCAGTACCAGGGTGATTTGAGTACAGTGGCTTTGTAATTTAACTTGATACTGGTATTATGATCCCTCCAATTTTGTTCTTCTTTCTAAGATGGCTGCAGCTATTTGGTGTCTTTTCTGATTCCATATAAATTTTTGGAGTGTTTGTTCTAGATCTGTGAAATATGCCATTGGTGTTTTAATGGGGATTGTGTTGAATCTATAGATTGCTTTAGATTTTTATGATGTTGATTCTACTAATCCATGAACATGGTATATTCTTCCATTTGTTTTATATCTTCCTCTATTTCTTTTTTCATTATCCTGTAGTCTGTTGAGTATAGGTCTTTTACCTCCTTGGTTAAGTTTATTCCTAAGAAAATTTTTTTCTTGCAATGGCAAATGGAATTTTGTTTTGTTTTTAGTTTCCCTTTCTGAGAGATCATTATCAGTGTATAAAATACCATCAATTTCTGGGTGTTAATTTTGTATCCTGCTATATTGCCAAATTCATTTGTTAAATCTAGTAGTTTTTTTGTGGAGTTTTAGAGTTTTCTACCTACAATATCATGTCATCTGCAAATAATAACAGTTTTACTTCCTACTTACAATTTGGATGTCTTAAATTTTTTCTTCTTGTCTGATCACTGTGGCTAGGACTTCCAGTACTAAGTTGAATAAGAATGGTGATAGTGGACATCTCTGTCTTGTTCCTGTTCTTGAGAGAATGGTTTTAGTTTTGTCCATTGAGTATGATGTTGGTTGTAGGTTTGTTATATGTGACCTTTAGTATATACTCTATTCCTACTTTGCTAAGAGCTTTTATCAAAAATAATTGTTGGATTTTGTCACATGCTTTTTCTGCATCTATTGATATGATCATGTGATTTTTGTCTTTTAATTTGTTTATGTGATATATCACATTTATTGATTTTTGAATGTTGTACCAGCTTTGCATCCCTGGAATAAAACCCACTTGGTCTTGGTGTGTAATCTTTTTAATATATTGCTGGATCTAATTTCCTAATATTATGTTGAGGATTTTACCATCTATGTTCATCAGGGATATTGGCCTGTAATTCTCTTTTTTTGTAGTGTCTTTATCTGGTTTTGAAATTAGGATAATGCCAACCTCATAAAAAGAGCTTGGAAATGTTCCTTCCTCTTGAATTTTCTAGAACAGTTTGAGGAGGAGAGGCTTTAGTTCTTTTTTGAGAGTTTGGTAGAACTCCCTTGTGAAGGCTTCCAGACCACATGTTTGCTGGGAGTTTTTTAAATACTGCTTGAATTTCATCAGATGTTATTAGCCTATTCAGGTTTTTTTAATTCTTCCTGACTCACTTTTGGAAAATTTTATTTTTCTAGGATTTTTTCCATTTCATTCAGGTTGTCTAGCTTTTTAGCATACAGTTATTCATTGTATTTTCTTACAATCCTCTGCATTTTTGTGGTGTCAGTTGTTACTTCACCTCTTTCGTTTCAGATTTTTATTTATTGGTGTTCTCTCTCTTTGTTTCTTGATGAGTCTGGCTAAAGATTCAACAATCTTCTTTAACTTTTTAAAGAACCAGATCTTTGTTTCATTGATCTCTTTTAGTGTTTTTTC